TGAGAAGCAAGGAAAGAAGGAAGGAAAATGAGAAATAAGCAAGCAAGCAAGGAAGGAAAACAAGAAGGAAGGAAGGAAGGAAGGAAGGAAGGAAGGAAGGAAGGAAGGAAGGAAGGAAGGAATATGGAAAACATGGAAGGAAGGAAGGAAGGAAGGAAAACGAGAAGCAAGGAAGGAAGTCATGGTGGTGCAATTGTTATAATTCAGTATTGCAGGCTAACTCTGCTCACAGTCAGGAATTCGATCCTGACTGGCTCCAGGTCGACTCAGCCTTCCCTCCTTCCAAAGTCAGTAAAATGAGGACCCGGATTGTTGGGGCTGACTCTGTAAAACCGCTTAGAGAGGGCTGTAAAGCACTATGAAGCGGTCTATAAGTCTAAATGCTAGTGTTATTGACAAACCACTCTTTATCGGTCACCACTGCCTGCAAGAAAGAAACAAACATATACAAGCACTTTTTATAAGTTTTTTTTTTTTTTAATTTCCACAGATCTCACATTTGAGATTTTGCTGACCAATGTTAATTCTCAACATCTGTTTTGTTTTTCCCCCTCTGCAACTGGGTTTAGCGTTCAGGAATTGAGCCCACCCCTATGGTTCATAAATCTTGACTTGGATGGAATATGCACTAATGTTTGGGGTGAAGGAGAGGAAGAGAAAAAAGCCCAAAGGGACAAGCAAGGTTGGTCAAAAAAAAACCCCACAACTCCAGTTGCAATCAATACCCTTGCCCGGCTGCAAGTACGGCACATCTGTGTGTGCTTTCTGCACCAAAATCTGGCGCTGTCTATCCACTCAAAATTCGAGCCACGTAAAACGGAGCAGAATTATCAATCTGCTAGGATTAAATCGAAGGTTTGGAAAAAAAAAAACAACTACAAAAAAAATTCTAGTTTTTAGCCAGCAGGCCCAGATAGGTCGAGATCTTCCTTGCAATCCGTTCCAAGTAATTTCCGAGCCAAAGTACATCACTTTTTCTTTTTTTTTTTGCATTTTCATTGGAATGAGAAAAGTAATTCAGCAAAACGGTCGTCACGACTGGGTCTGGTAGAAAGCTAGGGTTGCGTGAGCTGGAATACACAATGACGCCCCCCCCCCCTCACCGCGAAACCTCGCAGGAGCCAGAAGAGGTGGGGAAAAGAAACTTAAAAAGAAAAAAGAGAAAACTCTGGCAATACCGCGGAGGTGGGATTTAGACTTCCTGTTTGCCAGGCTCAGAAGGAATCGTAGGTGGGTTATGCCGAAGGCTTTGGGCGATTATGTTTGGCAAACCACTCGTGGCTCTTATCGGCCGCCATTGCCTGCAAAGAAGAAAAAATTAAATAAAGGTAGTTCCCGACTTACAATAATTCAAATAGTATAGAAAAGAAAATAGAAAGGAGAAGAGAAGAGAGAAGAGAAAATAGAGAATAGAGAATAGAGTAGAAGAGAAGAAAATACTAGGAAATATAGAAGAGAATATAGAATAGAATAGAATATGGAAGAGACTAGAGAATAGAACAGTAGAATATAGAAAATATACAACAAAAGAAAGAAAAGAGTATACAATATAGAATAGAATAGGATAATAGAATAGAAAATATCGAACAGAAGAGAGAAGAAAAGAGTATACAATATAGACTAGACTAGACTAGACTAGACTAGACTAGACTAGACTAGACTAGACTAGAGCCGTGATGGTGAGCCTATGGCACATGAGCTACTGGCAAACTTACCTCACTGCACATGCGCATGCCTCACAGCTGACTTTTCTGCTGCTTTGAGGCCTTTTTCGGCCTCCCAGAGGCTTGGAAAAAGCCTCTGCAAGGCTTTGCAGGACAAATAATAGGTCCGTTCCGTCACTTCCTGTAATACCGGAAGTGACGAAACAGGCCTATAATTCGTCCTGAAAAGCCTTCTAGAGGCTTTTTCCAAGCCTCTGGGAGGCCGAAAAAGGCCTCAAACCAACCGGAAAAATCAGCTGTGAGGCACAGTGCAGGTAAGGGGGGTGGCGAGGGGGGGACTGCATGCGCAAGGGGCGTGGGTGGGCACACATTGCATTCTGGGTGCTGGCATGCAAGTGCGCACGTGCTAACGTGCGCACATTTCTTGGCATAGGAGCCCCAAAAGGTTACCCACCACTGGAATAGAGAATAGAATAAAACAATACAATATAGAAGAGAATAGAAAATAGAGAAGAGAAGAGAATAGAAAATATAGAACAGAATAGAATAGAGAATACAATATAGCAGTGATGGCTAATTTTTTTGTCGTGGCGTGCCGAAAGTGCGTGCACCTGCATCCATAATGCAATGTGTGCGTGACCCCCCCGCCATCCTGCACATGCATGCACAACCCCCCCTGCACCGCATGCCTTTATGCATGCACAGCAGATATACCCGACAATCAGCTGGCTGGCGAGACGCACATGCGCAGTGGATCTGTTCCGGGCGATGGCTTGCGTGCCATAGGTTCGCCATCGCAGCAATATAGAATAGCATAGCATAGCATAGCATAGCATAGCATAGCATAGCATCTTTATCGGGAATGGAATGAAGTGGAGTGGAATGGAATGGAATAGAATATTGGAGTGTTGAATAGAATAGAATGGAATGGAATGGAATGGAATGGAATGGAATAGAATAGAAATTAGAATAGAATAGAATAGAATAGAATAGAATAGAATAGAATAGAATAGAATAGAATAGAAATTAGGATAGAATAGAATATAGAATTCTTTTATTGGCCAAGTGTGATTGGACACACAAGGAATTTGTCTTGGTGCAAACACTCTCATGTACATAAAAGAAAAGATATATCTGTCAAGAATCAAGAATCATCAGGTACAACACTTAATAATAGTCATAGGGTACAACAGAATAGAATGGATATAGGAATAGAATTTAAGTAGAATGGGATGGGATGGGATGGGATAGGGAATAGAATAGAATACAATACAATACAATAGAATTCTTTATTGGCCAAGTGGGATTGGGCACACGAGGAATTTGTCTTCAGTGCATAGGCTCTCAGTGTACATAAAAGCTATAAGTGATGATAAATCATCGTCATAGTCATCATAAAAACACATTCATCGTAAATCATAAGATACAACACTTGGTGATAGAATCAACATAAATCGTGCCAGGAAACTAAATAAAACAATACAAATCATAAAGATACAAGCAACAAAGTTATAGTCAAAAGTAGAAAAGGAGATAACTAATAGGCTCTAGGACTGGCCCGTGTTCCTCCCCAACCTCCTCACCGTCCGAGCCTGCCGCCAGTTACGCTGGCGGGCCACAACGTCGTCTCTGTGCTGTGCCCCGGGGCCATCACATTATCAGAGACCTGGAAGAGAAGACCCCAACTCACCTCATCCAAGAGCTTCTCGCCGTTCGGGTCCACCTTGGAGAGCTCTCTGAAGGCCTCGTCCCCCACGAAGCAAATTTCGTGGCCATCCTACGAGAAAGCAAAGAGACCACACCAACACGAACGAGACAGCATCATTTGGCTGGTTGCCCCACAAGAAGTGGAGATGATGATCAGGACACACATTTATTTTGTGTCTTCGAGACTAAATGTACTTCTTGGCTTGCAACCGATCACTTGGAGACCAGGTTCAATGGACCTGCCGGTGTCAGGATTCCGGCAGTGACCCCCCACACACCAATTAAACCACGAGTCTCGAGCTCATGATCCAGTAACATATTTATTTTAAGGGCACTTACAGGATCGGCCAAAATGACCACTTGTACCGTTGCTTTCCCGGGTGTGTCCAGGCTCACCAGAGGCGTCAAAATCTTCTGGTACTCCTTTTTCATTAAGGCTTCAATAACAGGCAACTTGGTAAATGGTGCGAAACAGGATCCAATGAAGAAGACATTTGGGGATGGAAGTGGGGGAAGAGAGGAGACCAAATAGAAGAGAGTCACGGTTAATTTTCCTGCAAATAACAGCCCCCCCCCCTCCTTTCTACAAAGTATTTTCAAAACAGAAAAAGAAAGTATATTTTCAAAACATGACAAGGAAGCCTTTTTGAAACGTCAAAGGAACCTATTTTCATAACATAAAAAGATTTTCAGAAGATGAAAAGAAGGCATTTTCAAAGCATAAACAAAGTATTTTCAAAACGTAACGCGAAAGCATTTGGAAAATGTAAAAAGATTTTTCAAAACGTAAAAGGACTTTTTAAAATGTAAAAAGGTTTTCGAAAGGTAAAAAGAAAGTCTTTTCAAACGGTAAAAAGTTTTTAAAACAGGAAAAAAAAAGAATCAAAACCTAAAAAGAAATTATTTTCAAAAAAATTTTAACAAAAAGAATTTCAAAACACGAAAAGAAAGTATGTGGAAAATGTAAAAGCGTTTTTTGAAACGAAGACTTTAAAAAGGTTTTCAAAACATAGGAAGATTTTTCAAAGCAGGAAAACCAAAAACCGTAAAAACAAAGCGTTTTCGAAACGTTTAAAAGAAAGTATATTTTCAAAACGTAAAGAAGCATTTTTTAGTTGACAGAGCTTTTAAAATGTAAAAAGGTTTTTGAAATGTAAAAAAGAAAGTATTTTCAAAACAAAAACCTTTTCAAAACATGACAAGAAAGCATTTTCAAAAGGTAAAAAGAAAATATTTTGAAAATATAAAAATATTTTGAAAATGTAAAAAGAGTTTTAAAAACCTAAAAGGATTTTTTTTTAAACATAAAAAGATTTTCAAAACATAGAATTTTCAAAACAGAAAACCCTTTTCAAAATATAAAAAGGGAGTATTTTCAAAACAGAGGATTTTCAAAACATAAAAAGAAATCATTTTTGAAAGCATGGTTGCTCAAAATCCTCAATCAATTCCATGTATTTGACACTGCTTTGTACTATAAACATCCAGATAAGTCCTTGGCTTACAGCCTATGATTTAGTGATTGTTCGAAGTTACAATGACACAAAAAAGAAATGACCTATCCCCGTTTTTCACACTTACAACACTTGTGGTCTCCCTATGGTCATGTGATCAAAACTGGGGTGATTGGCAACTGGCATGTACTTATGACAGTTGCAGCATCTTGAGGTTACGTGATCTTCCTAGCTAGTTTCTGATAAGCCAAGTCAATGGGTGGATGGGTGGGAACTGGATTCACTTAATGACTGCATGATTCTTTTAATGACTAGCAAAAAAAAAGGCACAAAGTGAGGCAAAACTCACCTAGCAACCGACTTGCTTAGCAATGGAAAATAATTTGGGCTCAATTCTGGTCGTAAAATGAGGACTACTTGTAAAAGACAAAATAACTTACCTCTTCCTTCGGGCAAGAGAAGGCGATGCGTCCGAAGGCTGTGCCGTGATCCACATCCTGGCCGACGCTTTGCAGCTCGAGTTTACACTGGAATTAAAATAAAAATAAGAACAATTGGGTTTACCAAAAAAAAAAAAGCCATACAAAATGACACCGGCCAGTTTTCAGGCAGCTACCAGTCTGGTTCAGGATGCAAAAAAAAAAGGCCTGAATTGTAAACTTTGGTGGACTTCTACGGTCTTGTTCTAGTCTGTCCATCTGACGTGGGAGCGTGGTTTTCTACTTACTTTCTGCTTGAGCATTTGTCTGGGGTCAATCGCTGCTTATCTGGGTGTAGACTGCTGTCAGGGTATGTCCCGTGAACTGGAACGGAGCTCAGTCACAGGGTCAGCCAATGAAAAGGCATAGCAACTAAGCCAGCCAACGAAGGCTGTTTGGAAACTGAAACTTAGAAGTAGCCTAGACATGGCTCTTTATTAGGCTCTGCAGCTCTGAAGCTATGTTAAGCTTCGAGTCTGTCCACTGAAAATAAAACTGCTTCTCTCTTCTGCTGTGGGTCTCGCTTGCCCGCTGAACTAAAGCGAAACTGTTGTCCGTTTCTGAGCTGTTGAGCGGCTGTTCTGCTCCGAACCTGTAACCTATCTGCTTGTTTGAATTTGCTTCACGCTGGAGAAATCTACAACTGGTCTTGTTAAATTTACTTTATGTACTGTATTTATAAAGAAGTTAAATGAAGCCTCTGCCTTCTGGGTTTACTTTTCTGGCACTGAATTTACAGTGCAACACTCTGAACTGCTGCTGGACAGGAAGTGTCTTTCTCTGTTTTATTTCCTGTTTTTGTTCTTTTTAGCACAGCTGATTCGTTGTTTTAGTCCCAGGGGCTGAAGCAACTGAGTTGAAAATGGGCAAAGCGCGCGCTCACCGAACCGGTTGTTACACTGGATGAATCGCACCGCAGTTTATGACCGTTGTGGCATCCCCACTGACACATGATCAAAATCCAGACCCTTAGCAACCGACATGTATTTATGATGATTGCGTTGTCCCCAGGGTCACGTGATCTCCTTTTGCGACTGTCATGCCCTTTCGAAATCTGAATCCAAGGAGGAAGACAAACAGCTGATAGGGAGTGTGGCTCCGTTGGCTGTGGAGGAGGCTGGGGAAGGGCAAAGTCCGGCTGGGCAGAGTAGGGGAGAGGTAGAACAAGGGAGAAGGAGGAAGACCCAGGCCCACCCGCTCTTCATCCTAGGGCACGCAGGGAGGAACAAAGAAGGGAGCAACGTGGTGTGTGTGGCTTACGGGGGAGGAAAGGGCCCTGATTCCCTTCATTAGCCATGGCTGGGAATAGAGTTTAAAAGAGGTGCATGCTGAGTGCGGCAGCTGCTGGGAACAAACGCGACTTTATCTTGTGTTGACTTTGGTTATCTATGTTCCTGGCATCCTCCCAGCGGCGTTGAATTACGGCCGTCATGTCTGGAATTTCTTCTCCTGCCCTGCCAGACTAATTACCTCATTTTGCCTTGATTGGACTTAAAGTTACAGTTTTTGTTGACCATGTTTTGGACTTGATTCTCTGCCACCAAAGGCTGTTCCTGGGGGAGTTTTTCTCTAGCCAGAAGGTAACCAGGACACTGGGGGCAAAGTTGGAGCTAATAAAGGGACTCCTACTGATTATCTGACTGGGTTGCCTTTGTGCCACGCCCCTTTGGGTCACCACAAGTCCACGGGGAAGCCCGATTCACTTAACAACCCATTCCCAGCTCAGGTGTCTGAGTGAGGACTGCAGCCTTGACAATAAAGTCTTACAACTAGCGTGTAAGACCTTCGTTCAATGGGATGCCCTCCAAATGCATTCTCATCCCATAACCCTCACCTTAGCTGAGCCTTATGGGCTGGCTGTCCAACTATTCTGCAGGGCACTTCGGGGCGGAATGAATAGAGGGTGGCATTTCTTGACAACTGTAGGAAGGGTGGACTTCAATCCCCAGAATTCCCCAGTCTGTGTGCTTTTAGGATGTGGCGGCTGAGGAATTCTGGGGAATGGAAGTCCAGACGTCGTAAAGCAAGGGTGGGCTTCAAAAAACTTCACAACCGGTTCTTTGCTCGGTTGCTGGGTGGGTGTGGCCATGGTGGGCGTGGCCTAGTCAGCCTCCTGCACCACCGGGGGGGGGGGGGCGTTTTTGCCCTTCCCGGACTCCGGAGGCTTTCCTCGAGCCTCCTGGAGAGCAAAAAATGGCCTCCCTGGGCTCCGGAGGCCTGCTGGAGGCTGGAAACGGGCTCATTTCTTGTCTTCTAAAGCCCCTAGGAGGCCCATTTTCACTTCCCTGAGCCTCTGCTCAGGCCCTGCACTTATCTGGGATCCAAAATGGGCCGTGTGGAGACTCCGAGGCAGTCGTCGTAACTACCGGTTCAGCGAACCGGATGTAAAATCGACATCCGGTTCGCATGAACCGGTACGAACCGATTATCAGCCCACCTCCCGTCTTAAAGCATGCAGGCTGAAGAATCCTGGGAGTTGAAGTCCACCCCACCTTCAGGTCCCTACGGTTGAGAAACACTGCCCCGAGGACAGCAGCCTCACCTGGTTGTCGGCGTAACCGAGCACAACTTTCTTCTTGCCTTCGTCCTTCTCGTACACTTTCATGCCCAGCAACCTGGACCAGTAATCCACCGATTTCGACAGGTTGGATACAGCCAGCGTCACCTTCAGCACTGGATCTGAAGGATAAGAACAATACAGGTTGTTAGGGATACACCCTAGCAGAATCTGCAGGGCAGTCAGGCAGGCAGGCAAACTATGTGAGATAAGCGTTTTTGTAGCTTACACTCAGTAAAACAGATACACCGTGCTAATTAAATAGTTTATTCCAGTAAGAGTTATAGCATAGTCAAACAGTCCATATATCATTCACTAATTCAGTCCGTCCAGGGATTATTCAGTTGCAAATTCCAGTGTCGAAAAAGAGAGGTCAGTAAACTTACAAATATCAATCCAGGAATATATCTCCTCGCAGTAGAGATATGAAGAACTCAAAAACTCCTCTCTTCCTTTTGCAAACTCAGCAGTAGGGGAAACACGCAGCTAACAAACCATACAATCCAGTAATTGTCAGCGAATTGTCAGCAATCAATCAGGTTCTCTTGCTCCCTCTTATGGTGGTTTTACACCACACCCAAAATTACATGCTTTGCAGTTTTAAAGTGACACACACTTAAACTTACAATCATAGTTTATATATATTATTTTACCCAAACTACGTTAGGTAACCTATGTTATTCCTAACACAGGTGGGCTCCAATGCAGACTTTGGGGCAGGACAAGGTGAGCCACTCGAAACATCTTCCCCTCGACCAGACTCGCCCCGTTACATCCGGATCCTCGCATGGGTCAACCAGAGGTCTTCCCCAGCACATCCCAACTAGCAGCAGGTCCCACAGGATATCCGAGGGCTTAGAATGGAATAAAGCTGGAACGGGCCTTAGAGGTCTTCTAGTCCAACCCCCTGCTCAGGCAGGAGGACCCTATGCCCTTTCAGACGAGGGACGGTCCAGTCCCTTTTGAAAAACCTCCAGTGATGCAGCAGCCACAACTTCTGGTGGCCAGCTGTTCCACTGGTTAATTTTTTTCTCAAGGTTAGGAAGTTTCTCCTTAGTTCTAGGTTCTTGCTTCCATCCTTGATTAGTTTCCCCATAAAAGGGACCAACATTAACCTTGGGGACGTGATTGAATTCTGAAATCAATCCAGAATCATACAATCTTAGACCCAAAGAGCTGGAAGGCACCTTGGAGGTCTTCTAGTCCAACCCCACCTGCTCAAGTAGGAGATCTACCTAGACCATTTCAGACAAGTGACTGTCCAATCTCTTCTTAAAAGCCTCCAGTGATGAAGCACCCACAACGTCTGGTGGCGAGCTGTTCCACTGGTTAATTGTCCTCCCTGTTAGTTTCTACTTAACTCCGGGTTGCTTCTCTACTTCGTTAGCTTCCATCCGTTGTTTCTTGTCCTGCCCTCAGATACTTTGGAGAATAGCTTGACTCCCTCACCTTTGGGGCAGCCCCTCAAATACTGGAAGACTGCTATCATGCCCCCACCACCACAGTCCTACTTTTCTCTAAACCAGTGGTGGCAAACCACTTTTTCTGTTCTTGTGACAATAATTGCGCGTTCCAGCACCCAGAAGGCAATGCGTGCTGCCCCCGCCCGTGCATGCGATCCCCTTGCGGCACGCCACGCATCTGTGCGTGCGTGCACGACCCCCCTCTGCAGCACGCCGCGTAGCTGAGCATGCGTGCGCAATTCCCCCGCCGCGTGCTGCGCGTGTGTGCATGCAGGCGTGATCACTCCCGCACCGTGCGTCTGATCGTTCTCCCACGCACCCCTGGGCATGCGTGCCAGATACCCGACAATCATCTGTCGGGCAGCAGCGGCCCGTGCGCACTGGGGCTCTTTCAGGCGAGTTCTTGCGTGCCGGGGGAAATGGCTCTGGGTGCCACTTTCGGCATGCGTGCCCTCGGTTCGCCATCATGGCTCTAGCCGGGCCAAACCCAAATCCTGCCATCGTTCTTCATGGGTTTTAATGTCCAGGCCTTTAATCCTCATCTTAGTTGTTCTTCTTCTCTGCGCTTTTTCCAAAATTGTAATGTGGGGACCATAACTGGATGCAGTACAGGCCGTCCTCGACTTACGAGCACAGTCGAGCCCAATAGCTTGCCAAGGGAGACATTTGTTAAGTGAGTTTTGCCCCGTTTAAACGACCTTCTCTTGCCACCACCGTTAAGTGAATTTCCACCGTTGTTAAATTAGTCGCACGGTCATTAAATGAATCCAGCTTCCCCGTTGGCTTTGCTTGTCAGGAGGTCGCAAAAGGGGATGACGTGACCCCGGGACACGGCGACCGTCATAAATATGAATCCATTGCTAAACGTCTTGAATTTTGATCACGTGACCGAGGATCGTAAGTGTGAAAAACATTCGTTAGTTGTTTTTTTAAAAAAGTGACGTAACTTTGAAGGGTCACTAAGTGAACTGTTGTAAGTCGAGGACTACCTATATTCCAGGTGTGGTCTTAATGAATGATTTATAAAGCAGTGCTGTTTTATTCATCGTTCTTCACAGCTCTTGGGGACGTTCTATCACGGTGGTGGCTAACCTTTTTTGGGGCTCCTGCCCCGAAAAATTGTGTGTGTGCTTGTGCGCGCTCTCTAGTGTACCAGCACCCAGAGGGCAATACATACGCCCCCCCCTACACCCACTGCGCATGCACACACAATTCCCCCCCCACGCCGCCTCCCGCTTACCCGCACTGTGCCTCCCAACTGATTTTCAGCCTGTTTGAGGCCTTTTTCGGTCTGTCAGAACCTTGAAGAAAGCCTCTGTAGGCCGAAAAATGGGCCTGTTTTGTCACTTCCGGTATTTCCGAAAAAGGCCCCCAAATCAGCCGGAAGGCACGCGCATGCGCAGGGAGATAAGTTTGCCCGGGGGCTCGCATGCCTGCACAAATGGCTCTGCGTGCCACCTGTGGCATGCGAGCCATAAGGTCCGCCATCATGGTTCTATCGTCTTTCCTGAATTTGGGCTTCCGAGCGTCATCGGATGGGCAAACGGAGGAGCTGCAACCTCGTTGTTCTGTTCTGCTCCTTAGTGTTGTGGCCCACCAGCGGCCAGCGGAGGAGCTGGCCGTTGATTTGGACAATGAGGAGGTTGGGGAGAAGCATTGGCCAGTCCTGGAGTCTGGGGAAGGCTCTGATGAGGGGCTGTGCGTCGGAGGCAGAGATGGGGCCAGGGCTTTCCGGCAGTGATCAGCTGCCTTCGGAGTTGGAAATCAGTGGGGAAGAAGAACAGCTGGAGCCTGTTCCCAGTGTGTGCATGCACAGAACTGCCAGACGAAGGGAACAGCTGAGGAACAAGGGCCGACTCAGGAGTAAAGCCACAGGTGGACGATGAATGGCCCCTCCCATGGGGAATAAAAGAGGAGCAAAAGGGGGAATGGGGCTTTGCAGGAGACAATTCGTTCAAATCATTCAGGTGAAGAACTATTCCTGACTCCTTGCCAAGTATTGTCTGCTACAGCGTGGCGTTTGGAAGCTATCGGCCTGCCAGCTCTCCAAGCCTGATCGAGGTCTGTAGTTGTGAAATCTCTGGAAAGGCTGTTGGCTGGGACTTTGCTGGAGAGGAATTCCCTTTAATAAACTAAATAAAAAAGGGTTTTATCGGGACGAGGAATCAGCTCAGCTCAGCTTCGCGCTTTGGGGGACGCCTAGGTCGCAACGTTTACCTTCTTGGGGTCGTTCTTTGTCTTCCAGAAAGAACTTATATCCCCCCGGAGCTTCTAATTCATAAATGCCAGCTGAGGTCTCCTTCACGGGCCACTGCAATTTTCTGGCATTTTTCACAGCCTGGCTCGAGGTAACGGTCATCCCCTGTATAAGCACGGGGTGGGGGGTGGAGGGAGGATAATCAAAACAGATGTTGAGATTCTAGAAAGGGCGCAGAGAAGAGTAACAAAGATGATTAGGGTACTGGAGACTAAAACATATGAAGAACGGTTACAGGAATTGGGTATATAGTTCAATGGTAGCTAACCTTTCTGGGCTCCTGTTAGGAATAACATAGGTTACCTAACGTAGTTTGGGTAAAATAATATATATAAACTATGTTAGTAAGTTTAAGTGTGTGTCACTTTAAACTGCAAAGCATGTAATTTTGGGTGCGGTGTTGAACCGCCATAAGAGGGAGCAAGAGAACCTGACGATTCGCTGACGATTCCTGACGATTGCTGGTTTGATGGATTGATGGTTTGTTAACTGCATGTTTTCCCTACTGCTGAGTTGCTGAAGGAAGAGAGGAGTTTTTCACTTCTTCATATCTCTACTGCGAAGAGATATATTCCTGGACTGATATTTGTAAGTTTACTGACCTCTTTTTCGACACTGGAATTTGCAACTGAATAATCCCCGGATGGACTGAATTAGTGATAGATATATGGACTGTTTGACTATGCTATAACTCTTACTGGAATAAACTATTTAACTAGCACAGTGTATCTGTTTTTACTGAGCGTAAGCTACAAAAACGTTTATCTCACATATTTTGCCTGCCTGCCTGACTGCCGTGCAGATTCTGCTAGGGTGTATCTCTAACAGCTCCTGTGCTGAAAAATTGCGTGTGCGCTTGTGCACGCATTCTCGCGTGCCAGCACCCAGAAAACAATGCACGTGGGCCCCCCCCACACCCCCTGCGCATGTACGTTCAATTCCCCCCCCACACACGTCACTGCCGCCTTACCTGCACTGCGCCTCCCAGCTGATTTTCAGCCTGTTTGAGGACTTCTTTGGCCTGCCAGAACCTTGAGGGAAGCTTCTGCAGGCCGAAAAATGGGGCCGTTTTGTCCCTTCTGGTATTTCCGAAAAAAGGCCTGAAAAACCAGCTGGGAGGCACATACGTGCATGCGCAGTGAGGTAACTTTGCTTGGGGCTCGTGGCCCTGCACAAATGGCTCTGCATGCCACCTGTGATACGCGTGCCATCGGTTCGCCATCACGGGTTTAGTTTAATGAAAAGAACGACAAAGGCGAGGAGACACGATATTAGTCCAGTATTTGAGAGGCTGCCACAAAGAAGAAAAGGGCGTCAACTTATTTTCCAAAGCACCAGAAGGCAGGACAAGAAACGATGGATGGAAACTCAACCAAGGAGTGAAGCAACTAAGGAGAAACTCCCTAACAGTGAAGACAATTAACCGGTGGAACAACTTCCCACTGGAAGTTGTGGGTGCTCCAACACTGGACGTTTTTAAGAGATTGGACAAATATAACCGCTGATTTATTGGCAAAACCATGATAAAGCATGGTCATGTGATCGTGGAACACTGCTAATACCAAAAAAAATTGTCTGAAATGGTACAGGGGGTCGGACTAGAAGACCTCTAAAGTCCCTTCCAGTTCTGTTATTCTGTTAATCACAAGAACCAACTTGCTTGCAAGATTATTTTTTTTAGTGCCACCGAAATTTTGAACGGTTGCCATAGAGCCTCGATGGCACAGCGGTTAGAGTGCAGTACTGCAGGCTACTTCCGCTGACTGCCGGGTGACTGCAAATTTGGCAGATCAAAGCCCACCAGGCTCAAGGTTGACTCAGCCTTCCGTCCTTCCGAGGGGGGTCAAATGAGGGCCCAGATTGTTGGGGGCAAGAGGCTCTGTAAAAACTGCTGAGAGAGGGCTGTAAAGCATTATAAACTGGTATTGTGATGACCCAAAGGGGCGTGGCACAAAAGCAACAAAGTCACAAAAGTAGATGAAGTCCCTTTAATTCCTCCAACTTGGCCCCCAAGGTCCAGTTATCATCAGCAGGAGAAAAAAAACTCTCCCAAGAACAGTTTTTAAAGGGAAGAAATTCAGTCCGAACCCAAAGTACATATAGATTATAAATAAAAACTGACACAAACCACGCTGCGGCAAGTAACGAGACAGGGCAGGATAAGGGATTGCAGACTTCCAAAAGATAACAAAACACACACAGTTGGGAGGACGCCAGAACCCAGATAGGACTTGACAAACAAAGATAATGCACGCTTTGCTTCCAGCAAGGTGCCGTGCGCAAACACCCTTTATATCCTGTTTTCCCAGCTGCATCTATTGAAGGGAATCAGGGCCCATTCCTCCCCCATAAGCCACGTTGCTCCCTTATCTGTTCTTCCCTGTGTGCCTTAGGATGAAGAGGGGATGGGCCTGGGTCTTCCTCTGAATGCACAGCCGGACTGTGCCCTTCCACAGTTTCCTCCACAGCCACCGGAGCCACACTCCCACTCCCTGTCAGCTGTTTGACCTCCCCCTCGTAATCAGATTCCAACAGGTACATGACAGGTATATAAGTCTAAGTGCTATTGCCATTGCTATACAAGTCCGTTGGTAAAGCGACATCTACCCTGGTAACAGTTTTCATCCTGTTATGGGTTTCATCAGGCACAAATAGTGTCTACTGATCAGATATTTGTTCTATCTATCTATCTATCTATCTATCTATCTATCTATCTATCTATCTGTCTATCTTTCATTCATTGCTTCATTCATTCGTGAAGCTGCCCTACTCAACTGAGCAAACCCTTAAAAACGATAAAAATGTGTTCAGCACTTGGAAGGGGAAAAAAGATAAAAGAATGGAATATCTTCATCCAGGTAGTCCTCAACTTATGACGCCAAGGGAGCCCCCAATTTTCAGCAAGCCAATGGTTAAGTTTTGCCCCCAATTTTACTTTTCTTGCCACCGTTGTTCAGCGAAGCGCAGCAGTTTGTTAAGCGAGTCACACGGTTGTTAAGCGAATCTGGCTTCCCCTTGGACTGCTTGTCCGCAAAAGGGGACCCCGCGACCCCGGGACATTGCAACCGTCATAAATACGAAGCCTTTGAATTTTGATCACGTGACCATGTTAAGGTATTAAGATTTAGATACTGACAAGTGGTGAGTAGCTGCACGATGCTGTGAAGCCAATGTAAGTCTGGCTGATGTAACCAGAGAATATGGGTCTTTCCCTTTAAGGCTGGAGAGTAAAGTTCCCTTTAAGAGGTGTGTGTATTAAAAGGCAGCCATTAGAGGGTGTGGTTCTCTTTCCTTGTGGCCAGTATTCAGTGCAGAAGGTCTCCATGTGTTAGGAAGAAGAAAAGCTTACTTGCAAAGTTTGGCCACCACGTGTATATTGTCTTTATATACCTGTTGTATATTAGATCAGTGGCCCCCCCAACCTTTTTTGTGCCACGGCTCGGTACCGGCATCACAAAATGATCCACGGCCCGGTACCGGCATCAGCACGCATGGCAAGGCGAGCCGAGCGACCGGCCAGCCAGCCGTCCCCCGCTTCTCCCTGCCACCTTCAACTCCTCCTTTGTACCTTTGTCGATGGGCTTCGCTTCGGGACGGCTTCGGGATGGTCACTCGGCTCGCCTTGCCTTGAGCGCTGAAAGAATTCTCGCGCCTTAGTTTTGTTCGAAGCTGCCCCCCGTCTTCGATGAAACTAAGGCGCGAGGATTCCTTCAGGACCCAAACGCCGCTTTCCAACCGGAAAAGCTCACCGGAAGCACTTTCTCATCAAAACAAGATGGCGGCACCCAGCAAACCGGCGGCCCAGTAGAAAATGTTCCACGGATCGGTATCGGTCTGCGGCCCGGTGGTTGGGGACCCCTGTATTAAATCACTGTTACTGTCTAAGTCAGTGGTCGCCAACCAGTGGGCCGAGGACCACTGGTGGTCCGTGAGAAAATTTTGGTGGTCCTCAAGAGAAATGTCACCCCCAAATCACCCCCCTCAAAGCAATTAATTCAGGCTGTGTGGGAACACAAGACTGTGCCGCCCACATGGCCCGCGGGAAGACAAGGCTTGCGTGGCTTGCATTGCGAACAACACGAGGTAGTGAGGGGAGAGGGGAAAGGGCAGAGGGGGGGGGAACTTGCCCCATGCGCTCACCTGACCACAGGACTGTTTCTTTCTTCTTCTGCTTGTGGCTGCACACAAGGAAAGCAGCAAAAGTCTTTCTTTCTCTCCCCCAAACTCCACCAGAAATGAGTCTTTGGGACCCTGCAAGGCCTCCTGCTCCAAGAGGCTGTTCCAGCAAAGACTCATTTCTAGCGGAGTTTGGGGGGGGGAGAAAGAAAGACTTCTGCGGCTTCTGCTGCTTTCCTTGCATGAAACCAAAAGTCTCTCCCTCCCTCTCTCCCTCTCTCCCCCTGAGAACGGAGCTGGAGACAGTATCCTGCGATCCCAAATAAAGAACGATCGATCGGTAGGAAAACGGGGTGGGGGATTTTCCTGCAGACTTTTTGGAGGGATTTTCCCAGGGTCTCTGGTCCGCGGGATTTAAAATGATGGGTTTGGTGGTCCCTGAGGTCCAAAAAGTCGGCGGACCCTGGTCTCAGCCCATGTGTGCTGTGTATTGTTCCTGCGTTATCTCATCAAGGTCGTCACGCTGCCAAATGTTCTGACAGACCATGGGGATGCTGTGACAGTCGTAAACCGGTCATAAATCCCCTTTTTCAACGCTGTTGTAATGTCAAGCAGTCACTAAACGAACTGCTGGACGTCGAGAACACCCTGAACTGCCTTTCTTCCTTTTTTGTGCAAATTCCAGATTATATATAAAACGATCACAAAGCCATATTGGGAATAACGCTTACCAGAAAATCATTGCCAAGGTGGTAATTCCCCACACCGTAGTTGTATGTTAGCTCGGCGACGAAGTGGCCATCTTCCGGTCCGTAGCCGACCATGGTTTTACTCCATTTGCCATCATAGGGACTAAAAACATATTCATCTTAATTTGCTTACAGGTACAGCATCACAACTAGAAACATCTGTTACGGAGGTGGTATATTCAGCAGCTTCTGACCAGTTCTGGACAACCGGTAGCAGAAATTTTGAGTAGTTCGGAGAACCAGCAAATACAACTTTTTCACTGGATATTTTACAGTGCCCTTCCCCTGCCATGCCCACCAAGCCACAGCCACAGAACCAGTAGTAAAATAATTTGAATCCCACCACTGATCTGTTATGCTTTCCCCTTCCCTCCTGTTGTGGTCTGCCGGTGTCCTGCGAAGCTGGCAGCAGAGGTGTTGTCATGCCCTAGTTGGAATCTGATTCCGAGGGAGAGGTGGAACATCTGACAGGGAGTGGGAGTGTGGCTCCGGTGGCTGTGGAGGAAACTGGGAAAGGGCACAGGCCAGCTGGGCATTCAGAGGAAGACCCAGGCCCACCCCCTCTCCATCATAGGGCACGCAGGAAGGAACAGAAAAGGGAGCAACATGGTTTACAGGGGAGGAAAGGGCCCTGATCCCCTTCATGGGCTGCAGCTGGGAAGACTGTTTAAAACGGCAAAGTTGCTGGAAGCAAAGCGTGCATTATCTTTGTTGAGGCTTATCTGGGTTTTGGCATCCTCCCAACTGGGTGTGCCTCGTTATCTTTGGGAAGTCTGCAAGTTATTATCGTGGTCTGTCGTGTTAATTACTTCAGCATGGTTTGTGTTGTTTTTTTATTACTAATTTATCTGTACTTTGGGTTTGGACTGCATTTCTTCCCTTTGTAGACTGTTTTTGGAAGAGTTTGATCTTCCACCGAGGATAATTGGACATTGTGGGACAAGTTGGAGGTATTAAAGGGAATTTATCTGTTTTGGTGACTTTGTTATTTTTGTGCCATGCCCCAGGTCATGACAGTCAGACAGTGGGGAAGAACATGGGCCAATCCTGGAATCTGGGGAGGGCTCAGACGAGAGATCTGCATCTGACACAGAAATGGGGCCAAGGCCATCTGGAAGTTATGTCCTGAGCCCGGAGCCTCCAGAATCTGACATCAGCGAGACAGAGGAACAAGGGGAGCCTGTTCCCAGTGTGCGCTTGCGCAGAGCTGCCAGAAGGCAAGAACAGTTAAGACAAAAGGGGCGACTTGGGAGTAAGGCTTGGAGGTGATTGGCCCCTCCCATAAGACATAAAGGAGGAGCAAAGGGACAGGAGCCTTTGCAGGAAGCAACTTTGTTCGTACTGGTTAGTTTAAACTCTGAAGCTCCGTGTTGACTCTGTGTTCCGCGTTTGGCCTTGTAGTACAGCTAATTGGCAATTTAGTCATTGGCACCATTTCAAGGGAGATAAAGGTGGCTGCTTATCAACCTTATCCCAAAAGACTATGGCAGACTATTCACAAACTGTTTGGGACTCATTACAGGTTGTGAATGCATATAATTCACAGCCGGTGAAATAATAAAAACAAGGTTTTGGGGAACAGCGTGTGATTGTTACTGCCTCAGGAAGCCTTGATCAGAACATCTTGGAACAGCCTGGAGGGTACAGGTAGGCCTCGACTTATCACCACAGTTGGAACCAGAATTTCCACTGCTAAACGAGGCAGTTATTAAATGAGACACCACAGTCTGTAAACCCTCCAAATCCAGATAGTTTCTTTGATTAAGAGTAATCGGGATGAAACCTACATACCCGTTGCAGGTGGCCTTGCAACCTTCTTCAAATTCTTCATGCCTCAGGACCTGTTGGTTCAAACCCACATTAAACTGGTCAGTAAACAAAGCGACAGAATCAAGATCTGGTGAAGTATTAGTACCGCTTTATAAAGCCTCAGTGAGGTCACATCTGGAATCCTGCATCCAGTTTTGGGTGCAGCCAGCTTATGACCACCATTGAGCACTCAAATTTATGTTGTTAAGTGAGACAGTTGTGAAGGGAGTTTGGCCCCATTCTATGACCTTTCTTGCCACCATTGTTAAGTGAATCACTGCAGTTCTTAAGTTAGGAATGCGGTTGTTAAGTGAATCTGGCTTTCTCCATGGACTTGGCTTGCCAGGTTGCAAAAGGGGATCACATGATCACAGCGACGGTCATAAATATGAAGCAGTTGGCAAGTGTGAATTTTGATCAGGTGACCATGGGGATGCTACAACGGTTGTAAGTGTGAAAAAAAGATCATAAGTCACTGTTTTCAGTGCTATTGTAATTTTGAACGGTCACTAAATGAAGGGTTGTAAGTTGCGGACTCCCTGTACATGGACTACGGTCTTATTTAGTGCATAGAAAATAATTTAAATGTAAATCTTTAAAGTTAAAGGTTATGATTGGCGAAAGCAAACGTTAGCCAAGGAAACTTGGATGCAACAAGTCACCACCACGAGCAGCTGTGGGACACTCTGACCACTGCATGGTTCACCTTGTACCTGCCTACAGACAAAGACTTAAAACCATTAAACCAACAATTAAATCAGTGAAGACTTGGTTGGATGAGGCAAAGCTGAAACTCCAGGCCTGCCTTGATTGCACTGATTGGAATGTTTTTGAAGATGCCTCTGCAGACCTAGATGAGCTCACAGATACTGTAACATCATATGTTAGCTTCTGCGAAGACTTACGTGTACCAACAAGGAACCTGCAAATATATATATTAACAATAAACCTTGGTTCACAGCTAACTTAAGCAGCTACGTTGTTCCAAAGAGAAGTTTGCTGATGACACAACAGTGATTGGTCTCATTCGAGACAACGATGAACCTGCATACAGACAGGGAGGTTATAGAATCTGCATACAGACAGGGAGGTTATACAACTTGCCTTGTAGTGTAACCGGAACAATCTGGAACTGAACACACTCAAAACCGTAGAAATGGTGGCAGACTTTAGAAGAAACCCTCCTATACTACCACCTCTTACAACACTAGACAACACCGTATCAACAGTAGAGACCTTCACATTTCTAGGTTCTACTATATCACATGACCTAAAATGGACACCTAACATCAAAAACATCATCAAAAAAGCCCAACAAAGAATGTTCTTTCTGCACCAATTCAGAAAGCTCAAATTGCCCAAGGAGCTAATACAGTTCTACAGAGGAATGATTTGAGTCTTTCCATCTGCACCTCTCTAACTGTCTGGTTGGGTTCGGCAACCCAATAGGACAGACACAGACTCCAGAGGATAATTAGGACTGCAGAAAAGACAATTACTACCTACCTGCCTTCCATCGAGGACCTGTCTACTGCATGAGTCAAAAAGAGGGCTGTGAAAATATCTACAGACCCCTCACATCCTGGACATAAACTGTTTCAACTCCTACCCTCAAAACGACGCTATAGAGCTCTGAACACCAGAAGAACTAGACACGAGGACAGATTTTCCCCGAATCGCCATCACTCTGCTAAACAAATAATTCCCTCAACATTGTCCAAATATTTACAAAGTCAACTATTACTATTAATCTGCTCATCACTCCTTTTCACTCCTCCCCTCCCACTTATGACTGTATGACTAACTTTGTCGCTTGTATCTTTACCATTTTTATTGACTGTTTCCTAGTATGATTTGTTTGCTTATTGTACCGTATGACTATCATTAAGTGTTGCACCTAATGATTCTTGACTTTTGATGACTGTATCTTTTCTTTTTATGTACACTGAGAGCATTTGCACCAAGACAAATTCCTTGGGTGTCCAATCACACTTGGCCAATAAAGAGTTCTATATCCTATTCTATTTAAGTCTACTCAATGACTTTAGATAATTAGCTCCATCCTTCCAAGAGGTGGGGAAACCCAGAACAACTAGACACAAGGACAGTTTTGTCCCAAATGCCATCACTCTGCTAAACAAATAATTCCCTCAACACTGTCCAACTATTTACTAAGTATACTCTACTATTGCTATTAATCTTCTCATCACTCCTTATCACCCATCCCCTCCCACTTGTAAGACTGTAACTTTGTTGCTTGTATCCTTATGATTTATATTGACTGTTTCCTAGTATGATTTGATTGCTTATTATTGTACCCTATGACTATTATTAAGTGTTGTACCTTATGATTCTTGATTCTTAATCAATGTACCTTTCCTTTATGTACACTGAGAGTATTTACACCAGGACAAATTCCTTGTGTGTCCAATCACACTTGGCCAATAAAGAATTCTATTCTATCTATTTTAGCAGTAGATTATTGGCCGCTCTAGGGAATCAATTTTCGGTGGACTTCCGCCTCAGGGTGCCTCTAGTGATGACGTCATCTCTTCGGTTCCAAGCCCTCCGGGTTTTCCCGGGTCTCTCTGACCGCCTCCTCCACAGCAGCCTACTTACACGCATGCCCAGTAGTTCTCGGTAAAAACGGATGGTCTGAGCTCGGTCGCCGACTTTGAAGACAAAATGTAATGCGCGTCTTGCCTTCATTTTCTTCTCTCAGAAGATCACGAGTTCTTGGATTGTCTATTTTATTTTGTCGCGGCGTGTCGCCGTCTGATAACGTCACAGACAACATAGACGGAGCTCCGTCTCCACGCAGACTCAGTCTTCCGCTACAGAAAATTCCCTCCTCCACCAATTGAAAACCACAGCCAATAGGAACGGCTATTTCTAACCGGAACCTCCTAGACGCTCTATATTATTTCCTCTATGGCTGAAGCGAACTATTTTGATTCGAGACGGCTATCAGGCACCTTGACATAGAAATCTCGCGAGACTCTCACATCTTTGACTATTTCCGCCCGTGAGCAAGATGGCATCCTTCTTCAGGCACGCATGGGCTCCTCTACTGTTCACGCCGTGTCGAATTAGCGTTGGGAGCCGTCGCGGCATTCGCGGTCTAAGAAGGAAACCTCTCCGCGTGCTTCCTTCGGTTGCGGAGACGCAGGAGAAGCAACGGATCGTCCCCAGCAAAATTAAGGCCAGTTACATCCCAAAAGCGCCCCCAAAGGAGCGCCAACCGGAACCGGAACCGGAACCCAAAGAGGCGGAGCTGCGTTATGAGCGAGCCGGACCCAACGAAAAGAGACTGAGGTAATTTCGTTCGCGCAAAGCATCCTGGTTGTTGTAGTGCGGGCTCCTCGGAGAAGTGAACGGAACTGGAAGGAGCGAACCACAATTCCCAGCGTCCTTCGGGAAGGAAAGCCGGGAGTCACGGATTTTGACTTCCCGCAACGCTTTCTGGGAATTGTAGTTTTGAGGCGAAAAAAACTTACATTTTTATTTTTTGGCTGAAAAATCCGCCGGGGATATTCGTTTTCCTCCGTTTCTTTCCTTCTTTCCCCCATCCCGCTGTCGTAGCTGACGTATTGGACTCCAATTCCTGATTTCCATCAGTGCCCATCACTCCTCAGCCAGCAGCACCAGTGATGTTGAAGTACATCCCTTGCTGGCCTGTAATGGTGGGAGTTGTAGTCCATTTGATATAAAGTAAACCGTCTGAGAAAATCCCCCTTCCCCCGCTTTATTCGCCTTATATGTGAAATATTTTAGGCTTGTATGTGCAATTGGTGCATTATGATTTAAATGTGCGACTACCCCACTCCACCCCTAAACAAATCAGGCCAAAATCAGAAAGGAAACTTAAGGGCTGTCTTACTTTGCAGTGGAAATGTTACTCAGTAAGTTGAGGATTATCTCTAAAATAGATACAGTAGATGTAGGAAGGTAGGTAGAGAGACACACACATTATAGAGATGGAAGGCATGGATGGATATGATGGATGATACAGATGATATAGATAGATGATATAGTAAGTAGGTAGGTAGATGATAGATAGAGAGATAGATAGATAGAGAGATAGATATTGACGGATAAATGATAGAAAGAGCTAGAGAGCTAGATAGATGATGTACATACATATAAATTAGAAGTTGATCGATGATAGGTATAGACAGAGATAAGATAGATGATGGATGGATGGTAGGTAGGCAAAGATAGATAGATACAGACACATGATAGAGATGGATATGGATAGATGGATATGGATTCATAAATGTGATAGATGATATAGATATGATTGATAGATAAAATTGATAGATATTGATGACTAGATGATAGAAATAGCTAGAGAACTAGATAGATTAAAGATAGCAAGATAAAAGATAGACAGTCATATAAAATGAGACAGGTGGATGGATGGAAGATATACATATATAAAATGAGATAGGTAGATGGATCATGGATGGATGGAAGACAGACAGGCAGACAGACATATCTAAAAGATAAAGGTAATCAAGAGTTGGAAGAGACCTTGTAGGTCATCGAGTCCAACCCCATCACCCAAGTGGGAGATCCTACACCATTTCTGACAGATGGGACTCCAATCTCTTCTTGAAAGTCTGAAGTCTCAACTTCTGAAGGCAACTTCTGTTCCATGGGTTGATTGTTCTCACTGTCAGAAAGTTTCTCCTTATTTCCAAGCTGAATCTCTCCTTGTTCAGTTTCTATCCATTATTCCTTGTCTGGCCTTTGGGTGGCTTGGAAAATAGCTTGACCCCTTCCTCCTCTCTGGGGTAGCCCCTCAAATGTTGGAAGACTGCTATCCTGTCTTCCCTGGTCCTTCTCTTCCCTAGACTAGCCATGCCCAGTTCCTGTAACCGTTAATATAAATGAGAGAGGTGGATGGATGGATGGATGGAAGACAGACAGACATATATAAATGAGATAGGTGGATGGATGTATGGAAGATAGATAGACAGAGACAAAGATTAGATCGAGGAAGCCCAGTGTGATACCCTGTTCCTTTCTTTCGCTCTTTTTTTTTTCCCAACAGGAATTTGGTGACCCTGGCTAAGTCCAGGGCGTTCCGCGAGAAGCACGGGAGAATTCTGCTGGAAGGCCGGAGGCTCATTTCGGATGCTTTGGAGGCGGGAGCTATTCCGCAGATGATCTTCTTTAGCTTAATGGAGAATCTGAAGCTGCTGCCAGCGGCCAAACTCAAACGGGCCACCCTCGTCAAAGTGAAATACAATGACATCAAGATGTGGTCGGACGTCATCACTCCGCAGGGGTTGATCGGTAAGTTCTGGTAGAAATCGGAGGGCTTCAGGCTTAGCTATTTAGGTTTTTTTTTTATCCTGCCTTTATGACTTCGTAAGTAACTTGAAGCAGGGAACATATCAAATATTCCTTTCTCCTCTTGTTTTCCTCATCACAACAGCCCTGCGAGGTGGGTTGGGCTTGAGGCAGGGGCTGGCCCAAAGCCACACCAGCTGGCTTTCATGCCTGAGGCAGGACTAGAACTCACCATCTCCTGATGATTGGCCCTAAAGTCACCCAGCTGGCTTTCATGCCTGAGGCAGGACTAGGATTCAATCTACGATACCAATGATCGGCCTGTAGTCACCCAGCCAGCTTTCGTATCTAAAGTGAAACTAGAATTCACAGTCTCCTAGTGTTTGACCCAAAGTCACCCAACCGACTGTACTGCCTAAGATGGGACTCCCTGTCACCCGGCGATTGGCAAAAAGTCAGCTTTCGTACCTTAGGCAGGACTAGAACTCACCCTCTCCTGGTGATTGGGCCAAAGTCACCCAGCGTCCTTTCATGCCTAATGCGGGACTAGAACTCACCCTCTCCTGGTGATTGGGCCAAAGTCAACCAGCTTGCTTTCATGCCTAAGGTAGGATTAGAACTCACTGTCCCCTGGGGAGGCGCCCAAAGTCATCCAGCTTTCAAGCCTAAGGCGGGACTAGAATTCACCACCTCCTAGTGATTGGCCCAAAGTCACCCAGCCAGCTTTTGTACCTAAAGTGTAACTAGAATTCACAGTCTCCTAGTGTTTGACCCGAAGTCACCCAACCGAGTTTCCCACTTAAGATGGGACTAGAACTCCATGTCACCCAGCGATTGGCCCAAAGTCAGCTTTCGTACCTTAGGCGGGACTCGAACTCACCTTCTCCTGGTTTCAAAGCCAAGCGCCTTAAATTCTCCAAGCTGACTCAGCGTGTGGTTTGTCCCGGCTTTAGCAGCCACGCTGAGTAAGATCTCATGGGAACCGGCTCTGAGTAAAGTTTTTGGTCCTTTCTTGGTGTTTTTCCTTGTTGAGCAATCCTTCTGCTCTTTCCAAAGCGGCGCGTATATAAATCGCTCGTCAGCTGGCTGCTTTCCAAGGCTCCTAAAAACAAAAACAAAAAAATTCTTGCAGATGTTTCTCACCTTCTCACGTCTCTCCGTTGCTGTTTTTGGCATCCAAGGTTGCTCGCAGCGGTGGGAGGCCTCTGCTCAATCTCTTTGGGGATTTTTCCTCACCGCGAGATTTTTGCAGGATGAAGCTCGGGTGGAAGTTTGCGGCTTTTCAAGAAGGGACATGCCGTTGTTTAGCTCTCGTTTTGGGGATGGCGAAAAGACATTTTTGAACTGTTGGGAGTGAAAGAGAGAGAGAAGGAGGTAGAGACAGAGGGAGGGAGGGAGGGAGAGAGAGAGAGAGAAAGAGAGAGAGAGAGAAAGTTTTAAAGCCTTTTTTGGGCCCTCTTCTTTTGCCTTGCTGGGCTCCCCCACAGGATGGATTTGATTTCAGTCAAACTGATTTCAATCACGATTTGAATCCCTAGTAAAAAGGCTTGATTTGAATCCACGCGGTTTAAAGGAAAACGTGGAAAAGCGAAGGTGGATTTGAACTCAGGCCTTCTATTCCTGGGCCAGCACTTTTTAAGTACAGGTAGTCCTTGACTTCCAACCTTTCGTTTAGCGCCTGCTCAACGTTACAACGCCAGTTGAAAATAGCGACTGAGGACCGTTTTTCACACGTACGAACGTTGCAGCATCCGAATGGTCACATGATCAAAATTCGGACACTCGGCAACTGGTACCCTGTTTCCCCAAAAATATGACCTACCCTGAAAGTACGTCCTAGCTTGATTTTTACACGTGTGCCCAATATAAGCCCTATCCCCCCAAAAATAAGCCCTAATTAAGATCCTGCCCACTCCAGAGTGCACGGGTAGAAATTAAGGTAGGGTGGGAATGGAAAGGCGGTGGAGCTGCCCTACTACTTACCTTTGGATAGTTGTAGCCAGGCCTCGCACACTCCGACACCTGCCTTGTTGGCCCATTTCTTCTGCAGCTGGAAAGGCTTTGCTGAAGGCCTCTGGAGCTGATTAGAAAGCTGTGGGTCAATCCAACCTCTGTTATCGGCTGCAGAGGCTTCGGGAAAGCCTTGCTGGCTGCAGAAGAAATTGCTGAAGGCCTCTGACCGCAAAAAGGAGGCCAGGAGCGACGCACGCAAGTGAGGTTAGTCAGTGGATGACGTCCCCCGAAAATAAGACCTGGTGCCTGTTAGGAATATAAGTCCACCTAACGGGTATTTGGGTTAGAAATATATAAACCAGGATAGACATTTTAAAACTGTCTCTTTAAGAGCATGCTAAAAACTGCAATTGGGTGTGGTTACTCAAGCGGCCATAAGATGGAGCCAGAAACCTGGGTTGTTTTAGTCTTAGTCTCAGAAGAGAGTCTGTCTGAGTGAGTATCTCTGTTTCCTTCTGTTGGAAAGTGGTGCTGTTGCTCCATTTCTTCTAATTGACTGATATTACTGGATTTAATGTAAGTGTGATACTGAACTGTTTTTGACACTGGAATTTGATATTTGGATTATCCCTGGATTGAAAAACTGACTGATTTAACTTGTGAATGACTTTGGATTGCTTATTTTGGACTTTGCTTAAACCTTTCTGGAAGTAAAAACTTACATTTACTGTACAGTGTATCTGTGTGCTGTGTGTGGATTATTCAAACACTCCTCTCAAATACGTCTCCCTGTATGCGCTCATTCTCCTAACGGGGAATTACCTCAACAGTGCCTTATTTTTTTTGGGTGGCAAAAAATTATAAGACAGGGTCTTATTTTGGGCGGGAAACACAGTATATATCTGTCTCAACAAAAGCGAATAAACGCCCTATAATTGGTTCTCAGCGGGGGAAAAAAAGATTTAAAAAGAGATTTTAATAGATTATAACGCACGGAGATCGCACTCCCAGCCAATCATCCCCTGCCTCTCTTGGTTTCTTGCAGGAATTTTCACCATGCCCCATCACACCAAAATGACCTACCCCGAAATCCCGCAGGAAGACGCCCTGCCCCTCACCCTCATCTGCGACAACATTCGGGACCCCGGGAATCTGGGTACCATCCTCAGATCGGCGGCGGGAGCCGGCTGCTGCAGTGTGTTGCTTGTCAAAGGTGAGGAGCGGGACCGCTGGGCCTGGGTGGGTGGGGAGAAGTGGGCTGGATTCGATCTCGGCTCTTCCTCCACGGGGTGGGGAGGGGGAAATTGGCAGGATCCGGCGGGAGGGGGTGTTGGATCATTTCTGGCAAAAGTCTGGACTCTTGCTTGGCAATTTTATGGGGGGGGGTGTTTTTGCCTGTATTAAGATGGGTGGACTTCCATTCCCAGAATCCCCCAGCTAGCATACTTTAAGAGGGATGGACTTCACTCCCAAAATTTTCCAGCCTGCATGCTTTAAAAGGGGTAGACTTCCACTCCCAGAATCCCCCAGCCAGCATTCTTTAAGAGGGGTGGACTTCCCCTCCCAGAATC